TGGTGCTATATAAATGCAAGTTTTTATTGTGGCGTTTGCACTCTACATCTAGAAATGCACACAAGAGGAACAGACATCAGCTAATTGATTGGCCAGCCTCTGCTGTTTTGATCACAGGATATAAAATGTTTTTTCCCATTAGCTGAATGCTCTACGTTCAAACTTAGCCCAGTAATTGCAAGATCATGTCCTTCAACTGGGTTCATATATCCTCAATCTGAGTATTACAGGAGTCCCAGTCCATTATTACAGTTCAATTACAGCTTCCATTGCTGTAAAGCTAATCCGCTGCCCTGCCCCCCACTGAGCCAAACCTTCAGTTTCCGCTTGCGTGCCTTATTTCAACCTGTATTCGTGCCACTCTAAACCTGCTGACCCTCCAACTGTATTCTCACATTCCTTGCAAGATCCGGCGTCCAGCACTGTATTCAACGAAAAATCACGGTCAGAATGGACTCAGACATGTCCTCCGTTGTCTATGCTATCGATTGCTTAGTCATCGCCTCGAAGAAACCCATTAAATTAGCTATTTTTCCAACAGAAACCACATTGGTAACATAAATAATTATGGTGCCTCATTACATTGTCGAAACGTTTCAAAGTAAATCCGTCTCAAAGGATTTACTATGAAGTGCAGTGACTATTTTGTAGGTAAGCGTGACAATTTGTTCCGCAGTCAGCCTTGAAATGAATGATCAATTTCATCAGGAGGATTGTTGCCCCAGACAATGGTAGAAATTTCCTTCTCTTTTGAAATACTGCCATAGGATTGTTAACATTCATCTGAATGGACAGTGCCCAGCAAGTATTGTCAAGCTCTTTAGTTTGGCCTCCCCTGACGTGAAATGTGTTATAGAAATATAAATTGCACTGTCGTTATTTAATATCTCATGTGAAGAACAGTACCCTGGACATTGCAGCACTCCCCCAATAATGGAAAGTCAGCTTTAGACTGTGAGTTCAAAGACCCGACATGGGGTTTGAACCCACAAGCTTCTGCCTCCATTCTCTGGCATCCATCCCAGAGTCACAGACATGAATCAACCTTCAGCGTTGCCATTATTGCAAGGCTACCACCTCCTCCTAAATCAAAACGCAAAATACCGCTGATGCTGGAAATCTGAAAAGAACAACAAAAACTTGGATTTATATAGCGCCCTCCACGCCGGACGGCGTCTCAGAGCGCTTCACAGCAATGGATCCTGGGACCGAGCCGGGGGGAGGGGGAGGAAAGTGACCAAAGGAACGGTCGAAAAGAAAGGTCTTCAGCAGAGATCTGAAATAAGGAAGGGAGGGAGCGAGGCGAAGGGAATGAGGAAGGGAGTTCCAGAGACTCGGGGCATAGTGGCGGAAGCAGAAGCCGCTTCTGGAAAACCCTGAGGTTCCGGTTTCTTGACATTTCAACACTCCCTCCCACTCGCACTCTGACCTCTCCATCCATGGTCTCCTTCACTGTTAATAATGATAATAATAAGAAGAAGAGTCCTGTAGCTCAGTGGTTAGAGCACTCGCCTTGCAAGCGAGACACCTGGGTTCAATTCCAGGCAGAGGGCGAAACCCTGGGCAAGTTTCCTTACTCCACACACCTAATAATAATCCCCCCAAAACCAAAAACAATAATAAATTGGTCATTTTCAATCCACGACTGTTTGTGGGACGCTGCTATGCGCAATTGGCTGCCGAGTTTTGCCCACAAATATACGGTCAATTAATTTTACAGCTTTGAGACATCTAGAAGATGTGAAAAGCGCTATATCAAATGCAAGGATTATTATTATTGTTAGATGCTGCCTGACCTGCTGAGTGTTTCCAGCGACCTCTGTTTTTGTCCTCCTAAATTCACTTTGCTAACAAACTGCAATACACATTCAATTAGTTAAATCATCGTCACGGATTATGGGTAGAAATTCCACCAGTGCCTAGATTGATTTTGTTAAAGTAACATTTTAGAGGGATCAAGATGCCCAATTCTTAATACTGAAGCCGGTTTTCTGAAAATTTTCCTACAGAAAATGGGTTTCAAGGTTAAAACTGCATTCAGCAATTTGCCAAATTCTGCACACTCTGAAATGTTACATCAATAGAGGGCATCGAGACACAGATGGAATTTTATCCCCCATCAGGTTGCACTGTTGGGGATCTCCATTTTTTCTTTCATTATAAATAGAAACTCCATCATGTATTATGTACACAATTTAAAAATCACACACACGAATATGCTTCAAGGCTGCAGTATATCTGCCACAGAAGATTATATTCAAGTATTGCCCAAGCTTCACTTATTCACTGAAGACATCAACTTAGCACGCAAGCTTTCGCAATTCCTCGTTGCATATCTACTGCCCTACATTTACTTACAAACGACACTCTATGTGTCTCTCAAAAGAAACAAAGGCTCTCTCAAAGCTAAACATTGTTCTCTTTCTCCCAAAAGAGTTTAAAAAGCACAACCTCACTCAAGACTAGCCACCCTGTGGTTATGTTAGAAGCAAAACCATTCACACCCTATGATATAAAGCAGGAAGACACGCTTATTCTGTTTGCTCCACATTGCTTTTTTGGTAGCAATAAATATCTAGATTTTTTAAAAATATATCTTTTTAAAGAGATAATTCACACCATTACATTTTTAGTGGCAGGCTACAAAGCACATCATTCTGGAAGCAGCCAAGAGATCTTGGAAGCAGGGTTCCAACAGAATTCGAGTCGCCAGAGTCCCATGATTATTATTGCCAAAAATCACTGAATTTCACTGCCTCTGTCCTCTCCCACACCAGGATCTTTGAGCCCATCCTCACCCCATCGTTACCCCATCCTCACTTGGTTCCATTGGATCTCCAACCCTAGCAGATCGAGTTCAAGATCCTTGTTCTCACGTTCAAATCCCTCCACAGTCTCACCCCATTTTACCTTGGTGACCTCCTCCAACCACGCAAACCAAACACTTCCATTGCTCAGTGAACACTTGATTACTTCATGCCCCCCACTCTATCTACTTCACCATCGATGGGCAGGCTTGCAATCATTCTGCCTCCATTCTCTGGCATCCATCCCAGAGTCACAGACATGACACCTTGTGGTGACTCAACTTACGTATCAGTGCATGATCCATCCTGATTTAGCCGATTAAACCAGAATGTTACATTATCAGCACACCAGGGTCATAAAAGGAGAAAAATCAGCCAGGGTTCCAGAACCAGATTACTATCCAGAGATCCCTGATGAGAGTTGTGTGTGCTGACTTAATAATAATAATCCTTGCATTTGATATAGCGCTTTTCACGTCTTCTAGACGTCTCAAAGCGCTTCACAGAATAGATTGTAAAGTGAATTGACTGTATTGTCAGATGAGGACAGATAATGAGCTCAGCTGCAGTGCCAACCAACAGTGGCAAAATAGCCTTCAATCATCAACTCACATTTGAAGAACAACCATTCAGAACAAGGTACAGAAGTATTCCAGTTTTTATAAAGCACTGTTTAGAGAGATGAGATGTAAGGGAGAAATAAACGGTGAGTTACCTCTGAGGATAATTCGGTTCAGAAATGACAACCCTATAAAAGTGATGACCAAGTGAAATAAATTAAATGCATCGATTTTTATGGGCTTACTTTTGCAGTTCATGTATCCAGAATTTTATTTAGAAAATTAAATATATAGAGAATATATAAAATGAATGTATATTAAATATACATTCGTCAGGTAAAATTGCTCACTCACTTCATGGCTGTTTGTGGGACACTGCTCTGCGAAAATTAGCATCCACGTTCACTCACAAAGTACGCAGTCAATCCATTTTATACTATATAATTCCCTTTGAAACACTCTCCTGACGTGACATCTTCTCTATCAAATGTAAAGATTACTTTATCACCTACTGAGCACACGTCTATTACTCAACCAAATAATGATTAACTTTGTGAAAAAAAAATCCCTTCTGGTTTCAACCATCTCCATCGGTTTAATATCTTATCCAAAGAACAGCATCTCTGACGATCCAGGACCCCCAGGACTGCATTGGAGTGTTGGGAGTAGTTTAATATGGGCTCCAAGTTCAGAATTGGGACTTGAACCCACAACCTTCCGACTCAAGAGATGAGAATGCTACCTACCAACTGAGCACACATATGTCAATCAACCAAACAATTATTACCTTTGAAAATAGACTTTTGGCATTGAGAATTTGTTATTTACAGTGTTGGGCGGTCTTCCCTTGATCAAATATACAAGGTATTTGCAAGGAAACAAGTACTTTCTGAAAGTCCCACGACCAACGTGCTTTTGACTGGCTTACAAGATGCTGCCATTCTTGCGACCTGTCCACAAAAGCTTTACAAAAATCCCAGAACCCTAGAATTATACAGCGCGGAAGGAGGCCATTCGGCCCATCGTGTCCGTGCCGGCGCAGAAGGCGCGCGAGTGCAGAGAGCGCACAGTGCACAGACGAACGGGACTGAACCGTGGAATCAGCCCCAAGCGCAGACCGACTGCAGCAAATGAAGACTGGAGGCCGAGACGACAATTGACGACAGACAGACAGACAGACAGACAGACAGACAGACAGACAGACACAAGCAAAGCAAACAAACAAACAAACAGCGTTCAGCTCTGCAGAACCGTTAAAGAGTCATCGGAAGCCCCGGCACAACCGGTGACGGTTGTCCTTCACCGTCCTCTTGCTCACTGTGTCCCAGTGAGGGTCTAAAAGCCATTGCCCCCCCCAACCCCCCCCCCCACCCCCAGCTGGACCATGGTTCATGGTATCTATTTGTGGTTCAACCTCACAAGCACAGACAGACAGACAGACAGACAGAGACACAGACAGACAGACACAGACAGAGAGACAGAGATGAAAAAAAAATCACATCAGGTATTTGCAACAAGAAGTAACACTGAGCTGTATCTGTGCAGCACCTGGTCCTGTCCTGTCCTGTCCTGCCCTGTGGTGTCCTGTCTGGTGTTGCGCTGTCACAGCTGAGCTGAGCCTCTGATCACTCACCTCTCACCGCCCCTCCGGCCGCTACAACAATGACAATGATCCACCTGATCCGCCGCCCCCCTCCGCCGCCCATTGGTGCCCACGTCGCGGCCCTCTCCCCCGATTGGTCAACCGTCGCGTCGCTCAATACCCGGCCCCGCCCCTCCGCCGCTGATTGGGCGGCGGGCCCCGTCGCTCAGGCCCTCCAGCGCTCTGATTGGGCCGGGCTGGGGCTGGGGCGCTGACGGAGCGCGGGGGGGCGGGACTTGCTTGGGCTGCGCCCCAAAGGTAACAATCTCTGGCGTTTGGATACATAACCACTTGCACTGAGATACAATGTGTCTCAGAGGGCGTTACAGTGGCGGAGCCCCCGACTCCGAGCCCTGCGGCCGGGCCGGGCCGGGGCGGTCGGGGACACGACGGTTTTCGAGACGTCTCCCAAGCGCTCCGCAGAAAAAAAACACCGCAAACTGAACCGACTGTAGGTTTTGCGGGCGGAACGCGGCAGCCAAGCGGGCGCGGCAGCGTCCCGGGCGCGCGCGGGCACGGGCGGGCGCGGACGGTAAACCGGCTCGACCGCTTGCCGCGCCACCCCATTCCCCTCAATCCTTCCAGGCGTCTTCACCGCTGCCGGCGGCGGAGGACGCCACGTGGTTTTTATCAGCGCCCGACCACCAGCGAGCGGCACAATCCATCCCGTGGAGTCCTGTAGCTCAGTGGTTAGAGCACTCGCTTTGCAAGTGAGAGACCTGAGTTCAATTCCAGGCAGAGGGCGAAACCTTGGGCGAGTTTCCTTACTCCACACAGAGCCTAATAATAATCCCTCCAAAAACAATAATAAATTGGTCATTTTCAATCCATGACTGTTTGTGGGACATTGCTGTGCGCAATTGGCTGCCGCGTTCGCCCACAAATATACAGTCAATTCACTTTACAGTGTGTTCTGTGAAGCGCTTTGGGACGTCCTCCCGACGCGAAAAGCACTATATCAAATGCAAGGATTATTATTATTATTATTATCCCCAACCCGCGGAAACAGGAGGAGGAGGCCGGCCTGAAAGAGACGCTCAACTCAACCTTTCCCCATCCCAGCCTGGGGCAGGAGAGACGTTGTACCCACCCACTCTGGGACAAAGATTAGACACGCTCTTTTCTCCCTTCTTCTTTGGGAGAGAAATTGCCTTTATCGTAGGACGGGGTTGACAAAATACACCCGAGAAAGAGTTCAAGCCAGGCAAAATGACTAACTAGTGCATCAGTTAGATTCAATAATCTTACCTCCTGAAAAATTGGGGAAACGGGGAGGAACACAGCTGGAGACCTCGAATTCTATTTATTTTATTTAGTGTGTAAGGGGAGTCCATTTACTCTTTTTAATTTTTAAAAGCAAATAGTAGACAAGCATGGAGTATAAGCATTTATATTGGCCATTTACGGGGAGAGGTTCGGTAAAAGTTCAAATGTACTACCCTCAGCTCTGCAGCCAGTATCTTTTCCACTACCCAGAACACTGGAACTCTGAGGTCGTATCCTTTCCCACACAACATCTGACACTTATATAGCGCCCTCCGCTCAGAGCAGAGTCTCAGAGGACTTAACAGTGGCCCGGGTGTGGAGGATGATGAAGGTAGCCATAAGCACAGTTGGAAGAGGATGGTTTTCAGGCGGGACTTGATAAAGGGGAGAGCGCGGGCAAGGCGGAGAGAGTAGTGGCTGAAAGCGCGAGCTCCGATGGTGGAGAGGAGGGTGTGACGGAACGAAGGCCAGTGCCAGTTGAGCGGAGGTGCCAGGTGGTGGATTGGGGAGTGAAAAGGTTGGGGAGGGAAGCGCCAGTGAGTGAAAGGATTTGAACTCGAGTGTGAGGATCTTGAAGTCGATCCGTTCGGTGATGGGGAGTCAGTGGAGCCTGACCAGAACTGGTGCGATATGGGTTTGGAGTCAGTAGGCGGGCAGCAGATTTCTGAATGAGCTGGATCTTTGAATAGTGGAGCTGAGGAGACGTCGAGGAATGTTTCAGTAATCCAGACAGGAGGTGACAAACACACGCATGAGGATTTTGGCTGCATTTAGGGTAAGGTAGTTAGAGGCGGGCAATGTGGTGGAGGTGGAAGAAGGTGGTCCTGGTCGGGGACTGGATGTGGGGGAGGAAGCATCACTGGTGGGGGGGGGGGGGGGGTCAAACCGGACGCCCAGGGAGGTTGAGGAATTTAGATCCGCAGGAGTGAAGACGTTGACAGGAGCCAAGGAGTGTGACTTAATGCATCCTTGTACGTACGCAGGGGAGTCCTGCAGCTCAATGGTTAGAGCACTTGCCTCGCAAGCAAGAGACATGGGTTTGATTCCCGGCAGGGCGAAACCTTGGGAAAGTTTCCTTACTCCATGCGCCTGCTAATAATCCCTCAAGAGAAAAAAATAATAAAATTGGTCACTTCAATCCATGACTGTTTGTGGGACACTGCTGTGCGAAATTGGTTGCCGCATTTCATCCACAAATATAGTCAATTCATTTTACAGTATGTTCTGTGAAGTACTTTGAGACGTCTAGAAAATGTGAAAAGCGCTATATCAAATGCAAGGATTATTATATATTATAGGAAATAGCTTTGGTGAAAGGCGAAAAAGTCTGAAACATACATCTGACAGAGAAATACAGATGTATCCGTATCAAACATTTATTCATATACTACAAAGGCAGTCATGATGAAATTTTCAGAAAAGGCAACTGTGGTTGTACTTAGTTTAGCGATTTCAAGTAACGTTTTGCATTTTGAAATACAGTACCTTAGAATACTTTTCCCAAGCAATATCTTAATTCTTTTACAAGTTTTGGCAATTCAAAATTGTTTCAATCATTTTTTTCCCTGGAGAATTGAGTAATACTGTTGGCAGCACCTGGTATAATAAATGGTGTAACATTTAAAATAAACTTTGAAAATTTGGAGACAAATGGGCATTTAGAAGATATTAAATCTGAGGTGGTTCATAGTTGAAACAGATTTGAAAACTAATACAAAATGAAATCTACACCCAATGGTTTAGAATTTTACAAAGTGATACAAGCATGATGATTATATATTCTCCCTACCGAACAAGTGTAAACTCCTGAGTGTCCTATACATTTTTGAAATCCATAGTTTAAAATATTGTTTCTAGATCAGGAAGAGTTCATATTTTACAAGTTATACAGCTGAATTTCACTTACAATGAAAATGTAAACTGTGAAATTATAATTCACTCCCAACAGAAATACATTTAGTCATTAATGTAATCACAATATTGCATGTTTAAAAACATTTACGTTTCATTTAAGCACCTGCTTTTTTTTCGGGGCCAAATGGCCATCATCAAATCTTAATTTGGAATTTTGCTATCTCGGTCACCATTTTTTTCACCTCCCCAATTGTTCCCTGAAGTATTATTTGCTGCCACATTAGTTTGCACTTAGTTTCAACTTCACAGCTTGGCTTTATATTCTAATTTTAGCAGTGATCGTTCTTAATTTCTTGCATCGTCACACACACACATATATATATAAATCCTTTAACATCCGTTCAAACAGGCTGTACAGATTTAGTAGATTTTCCAGCAAGTGACTGTACGGATTTAACCTGAAGATGGATCCAGTCAAAATGGAAGTCTATAATTCTCACATTGAAAAGGCTAGAGATATAAAAAAAACTACAATTCAAAACAAAATACACCATACAACATACTGATCTATTTGTCTGTATCATTACTGTTACTAGTCTCAATACTGTGGAGAAATATATTTGATCCAGTTTGAAAACATCGGTTGTAAATTCAAAAATCAAGTGGTTTTTTTTATCAGAAACAGCTATAAATATAGGTTGATATCAGATATAAAGCCAATACCGAACCTTTTGGTTATCTTAGTGTTGAAAAGCTAAGCGGTAACAAGAAGTCTCCTTAATATTGTCCGTTTTAAAAGCAGTGGCTCTGAAAAAGTGCTATGGTGTAATTCCAGTGCCTTGAACACAGGAAAAGGAGCATTGACAAGAGAGACAACACAAAAGACTTTGGTCAGTGCTGCAGAATTCAACTGCATTTATGGAAACAGAAAAGCAGCCAATTTATATTTCCAATTGAAAATAATGGAAGTACACGTCAATTTTAAAAAGTATACTGTCCAATGAATACATTGTGTGATTACACCTCAAAATTAAGCACACTTTATGCACACACACAAAATGTGTTAGATTATTGATCTGTTCAGTGCATTGCGCTCATAGGCAGTCTTCAACTACCAATCTTATTCTTGGTCCTTTGAAAGAGAAATGCATTCTACTGAATTGTCACTCAATATCCAATTTTATGTGTTTCAGTCCATTATATTTTATTTGATTTTGCTGAAACTAGGCAATGGTCGTCTGGAAATAGCCACTGTAATGCTTTCCCTGATGTGACAAAACTTCTGTTCCAGACATTATGAACAAGAAAGTGCCATCAATTTGTTATTTGGCCGGGTCATGTCTCATGGTTTTTGGGGTGGGGGGAGGAGCAAGAGAATTACAGCCATTTAAAACCAAAATACAGCATTAAGGCAAGTCCAAGGCACACAGCTATTTCCCTGCATATAAAGTTAGCATTTGAACAATTCACTAGTATACTTCCCTTTCATCTCTTCATCTTCCAAAGTCATACAGATCTTATATTGCTTTACCAACTATATAAATTGCATTCCAATCAGATAACCTTTTACTGTAAAGAACTATTGATTTAACTTTTCAAAGACTTAAAAACCCTAAATTCCACTCCTCTTTATCATGCTCTGCTCCATTCTTACGTTTTATTGGCTTCCTTCGAGAAGGTAAGGTTCTATATTCCCTTCTGACTGAAGGCAGTTCATCAGCCAAATGCAAGTCTTCTGTGCTGTAAGATGAAGGCATTGGTTTGATAAAGTCAATCGTGGGAGAAAGCCCTGAGGTAGATGGTAGTGGTTGTCTAGTGTTCACCTCACTTGTTGATGAAGAGCTATTGCTACTCACAGAAGAGTATCCAGAACTCAACTCCTCTGGAGGTTCTCTAAAAGTAGATGATGCAACAAATTCCCTTGCACTGCAATAGGCTTCACATTTAACATTAGAAAACTTGCGAGACCCTCGCAGGAATCTATTCTGCCTCAATCCATCTTCATCACTCTCTTCACTTGTGTCCTCGCAACAATGCTCCAAATTTCCACCTACAGCCACTGAATCCTTCATTTCACTGAGAACACAAACTGTAAGAGAAAATATTTATTTTGTCAAATAGATTTAAAGATGCAACAAGTTAACTTCTTTAATCAATATCACTGAGGTGTTTGTTTCACACTTCCAGAGTTAAATAGATTGAAGATCTTGCTGATGAATGATATTTCACACATTAAACTACTCAGTTTATTCACTGCTTCGTCCCCTCTAAATTCTGTGGTAATCAAGTATTTGGAGCAGCTTGCTGCATATACTTTTCAAAATGTGCACTTCAATTCAGCAGATATCACAACAGTGACTCTACCACTGAGACCTGGAGCTCCATTAGGCACAAGACAGAGCAGCCCAATGTGTGGAAGTGGATGTGTGTACAAATAAACAGCTGCTTCACATTCCTCCTCATTGCTGGTGCAGAGCACTACCAGTCTAATGCAAGGAGAAAAGGATTTATTCCAACAAAAAACATACAAGCTCCCTTAAATTACAACCTCTGTAATAACGTGTGCAAAAAACTTACCATCAACATTCTTCTCTCCCTCACTTTCTTGGTCTCCCTCATAGCCAGCGCAGGACAAGTCTAAACTCCAGTCTAAGTAATCCCCTAGAAGAGTATCCTCCTGGTTAGATAATTCAACAATAGGAGTTGCCACAAAGTTGCCCCGGTCTTCACGCAAGCTGTCCTCCCTTCGTCTAAATGGAAAGAAAAAAACCTTAGATCAGCTATAAACATAAAATATATAAAGTGCATGGTCAGCTGTAATGGAACCCCTTGTCTATGTACAAAATACTCAGGTTTCCTGTGAGGAGGGAAGAATAATAATCCTTGCATTTGATGTAGCGCTTTTCACATCTTCTAGACAGCTCAATAATAATCCTTGCATTTGATATAGCGCTTTTCACGTCGGGTGGACGTCCCAAAGCGCTTCACAGAATAGACTGTAAAGTGAATTGACTGTATATTTGTGGGCGAACGTGGCAGCCAATTGCGCACAGCAATGTCCCACAAACAGTCAGGGATTGAAAATGACCAATTTATTATTGTTTTGTTTTGGAGGGATTATTATTAGGCTCTGTGTGGAGTAAGGAAACTTGCCCAAGGTTTCGCCCTGCCTGGAAGCCTGTGAAGCTCATAGAGCTTCACAGAATTTACTATAAAGTGTAGTGACTGTATATTCGTGGGCTAAACGCGGCAGCCAATTGCAAACAGCCGTGGATTGAGTGACCAAATTATCATTATTTATTTATTATTATTTTCTTCTTGTATTAACATATGGAGGAACTTGCATTTTACAATAATGCCTCAAAGCATTTTACAGTAATAATTGTCAATTGTATGATTTATCATAAATAAATAAAACCAAGGATTCAGAGGAAGGAAATCTGGGCAGAAGCGTTAGGGAAGATGCAACCTCGACCTCAACCTTAGCAACCTCGATGTGTTTTATTTCTAGTGTCACTCCACTTTTATTGTATTGTTTCTTTATTAACTAATTAAGTTTACCGTATGCATTACTTTGGATTGAGAAAATAGCCTTCGGGATGTGTAGGGGACTGAAGATTAAACCTGAGGTTATATTTAATAGATAACTGGCCATTTAACTGGATATCATGTGCTTTGATGAAGGCACTGTCGAAGAGGAAGGTCTTTAGATAGGACTTGAAGGAGTTAAGAGAGGGGCTGAGCGGAGGGATTGTGGGATAGAGTTCCCGAGTGTGGGGGAAGAGATGCTGAATGCCTGAATCCCAGTCGTGAACAAACCAAAGTTGAGGGGAAATCTTTAGTTTGATTGAGGTAATTCAGTTATCTTACCTTTTTGTTTTGTTGCCTGATGGAGAGGTTAGAAAAGTCTGGATATCAGGATTGGTGTGCGAAAAATAAGAAGAAGCATCTTTTCATCCTCTTTCACTCCTAGCAGACTGCAAAGATCACCATGCTCCATTACCTAATTACAATTACAAATTCCATTACAAATCCTGGGTTAGCAGAATAAATATCCGTATTTCAACTTTTTCTTCTTGTGACCTTCAAAATCTTGCTCATCTCCAAATACAAATCAATTTGCAACTTTACCAGGCCTCAAATATTATACCCCAAAGGAGGCTGAAATAAATCTGCTCAACCTAAAAGTGAATAGCATGCAATTCCCTTAAAATACAATGATTGCCCTGTAAGAAAATTCTTCCTCAGTATCAGGTGATCTGCATACTCTCCAATACATCATAGCCTCAATTTTGGGTCAAGCCTTCAATCCTTCACGCAACAAAGGCAGCCTCAAGAGAAACAAAATACTTGAAAGCATGATAAATAATTTTCTATGCTATTGGTTTGAAGAAAACTAAAAATACCATGGACCAGTTAAACAGAATGCAGGCTGCTTACAATGGACAAAATAACTACCTCAGAAGTAGTAGCATCACTTGATCCACAATTGACATGTGTATGAAGAATGATAGCTTAAAATAGATGGAGTTTCCACTTTTTCCCCTGAAATTTTTCTATTAATCTGCCAATTTCATTTTTCACTGTTATTTCAGCTTTCGATGCTTGTTTATCTGACAGTGTTTTGAAATCACACCATTTATGACACTAGTTAAAGGCTGAGTGATTTACCTTCTCCTTACTGATTTGCTGGTGGCGTTCATCCTCAAATCGCTGCTTCACAGCTGTCAAAGATACATGTCTATAATCTCTGGGCACTTCATTATGGAAGCTGGTGGGAAGTTTAAATAAAATTACATAAATTGTAGTGAAAGGCATCAAAAATGATACTTAGCCGTTTTTAAAAAAAAACTTCTTTACATGCTCTGATGCACAAGTCAGGAAACCTGGATTCAAACAAGTAGAGCACATGTAAACACAAAAAAAACTAGATGTAAAGGTATAATTTAGGAGAAATTCCACTTGAGTCTCAATTAACTCACCTTACCCTGGCCAGCAATCCCTAAAATATTGGTCACTCACTCCATGAATGTTTGTGGGACATTGCTGTGCGCAAATTGATTGGCTCGATTGCCCACAAAACACAAGACCTCCAGTCTAACATGGGAAACACTTTAAGATATTAACAACGCGTGATATCAAATGCGAGGATTATATTTTAAATACCCATCAATACCATTAGCTGGGTGATGGAAATACTAATTGTCTGTTTTCAAAATCACTAAGAAAAAAGTTGCAAAAATTAGAGAAGATACTTTAAATTTGTTCTATTCTGCATTAGTTATATCAGGTGTATGGTGACTTATTACAGTCATAGCAAGACAAACAAGCCAACATACCCGGAAAAACTCTCAAGAGCGTGCTTCTTATGAAAGTCGTACAAGATTTGCACACAGCAATGCTCAATGAAATTATATTACTTGTTGGTTGCACTCTGAGGAAAAGCTGCAATACTAAGCAATGTAGAATAAATGTCTTCTTCCTCAAGTGATTGATTCCCACCCCCATCAGAAACCGAATAAAATATTAGTAACAATTTGTCAACATATTTTAGACTGTACACAAGCTCTACATACAACTTATGTCAGAGGCAATAGTTCCAATTGGTTTGGGAGGACTCACCATTTCTTATGGAGGTTTATGACACAGGGAGTCAAGTCATCCAATGTGAATCCAGTAGATTCCATTAGCTGGCTTGACCAAGGAAGGGCTATAAAAGGAAGGAAAAAATTAGTTTCAATACCTTAGAGCTGCTGTGGAACATCTTTACACTTTTCAGGTGATAAAAATCTAACCTGTAAATTTCTACAATGTCACATGGAAACATAAATACACACATGCAACAGCAACTTGCACTTATATTGTGCCCTCCATGCAGGGTAGCGTCTCAGAGCACTTAACAATGGTGGAGCCCGACCGACGGGGGAGGTGGCCTTAAGCACAGTCGTAGAGGAAAGTTTTCAGGTGGGACTTGAAAGAGGGGAAGAGAGGGGGCAAGGCAGAAGGATTGAGGGATTGTTCCAGAGCTTTGGAGCATAGTGACTGAAGCACGACCTCCAATGGCGGGGTGGAGGGTGCGAAGGACGAGCAAGAGGCCGGTGCCAGTCGAGCGGAGGTGCTGGGTGGTAGTTTGGGGAGTGAGAAGGTCGGTGAGGTAGGGAGGTGTTAGGGAATGAATAGATTTGAACATGAGTGAGGATCTGGAAGTTGATCTGTTTGGCGATGGAGAGCCAGTGGAGCCTGGCCAGAACTGGCGAGATCTGGGTATGAAGTTTGGTCCTGCTCAGTGTGTGGGCAGCAGAGTTTTGAATGAGCTGGATCTTTTGAATGGTGGAGCTGGGAAGACCGGTGAGGAGTGCGTTGGAGTAATCCAAGCGGGAGGTGACAAATGCATGCAAATGGGTTTCGGCTGCATCTGGGGTAAGGTAATGTCGGAGGCGGGCAATGTGGCAGAGGTGGAAGAAGGCAGTCCTGGTCAGGGACCGGATGTGGTGGAGGAAGGACAGTCGGGTGTTGAATCGGACACCTAGGTTGCGCACTGGTTTGGTGAGTCAACAGTTAAGAACAAAGTTCTCCAATAATTCAGTTGTTAAAGCACAGTCTGATGTAGATTTGAGCCATACATCAAAAGGTGTCCAGGATCAATGGTTTGTATGGTTTACCCATAGCTGTGCAGGAATATAAAAATCACAGGCCTTGTAACAGATATCCAGATCATTCTCTCATATTCAGAACAGTCTTAAGACAACAGTTACAAAAGTTCACAAAGATGTGACAATATTGCTGACATCTTGCATCATTTTCACCAAGGCTGATCTGTCCCATCTTGCAATAAATAAGTATACAGCGAAAATTGCCACTCCCATGTGAATGCAGCTGAACAAGAACACAGTTTGAGCATGGGTCATTAAACCTGTAATTCCACCACTTTGGGATGCTATATGTTTGTAGTCTTAAATACTGTGCACCACTGGGCCAATACCGAATTTAAAAACAAATTCAATAGAAGGTGAGAAATTGAGAAAAGCAAAATTTGAAACCAAAGATGAAAGAATGGTAAAGAATTGAAAGCAGCAGGCAATAATGGAGTTTAAAAAGGACAGACGAGGAGTAGGAGGTTAGGAAAAGAAGGGAAAATGAGATCCGAGAGTACAATACTATACAAATTTACATATCACCTTTCACATCAGGAGGACGCCCAAGCACTTAATAGAGAAGTAAAGAAATGCCTCTGGGAAATGCATTGTTCATTTTTAATTATAGCATTAGTTTTTATTCGCTACATATTCAGCAACAATTAAATGCTTGGTTCACCAAAACACAGCCAGTATTGTTACAGATATCCACCTATATACCGTTTTATCAAAATATGAGTTCAGTAATCCCCATAATTACTTGTATTTTGACCGTTTTATGTACTTTAATTGTAAGTAAACACAGAAATTTTAAAACACTCATGGACAAAGTGTTCCACATGCCAACAAAAGCCTACCTTTGGCCCTCAGGAATGGTACTTTACAATCTATATGATTTAGAACCGACAGCTATACAAATAGCTCCAAAAGAAAATTGTACCATGAATGATTCTGTTTCTCATCAAGAACCAAGATATTATACTGCACTAATTTCTCCACCCCATTCAATTTTAATCACATTATACTAACCTTGTCTGAGAAGTATTCGTGCTAACAGTAAGCCAGCTGCAGCCGTCATTGCAGGAGAGTAAACAGAGAGATCTGTATATAGCAGTGAGAGCTCACAGATGTAGTTAAAGAGATGCGCTGTGCGTCTTTCTAATGGAGCTACTGTCAGCAGCACCCCTGCGTAGTCTAGAACAGTAGGAGTCTGCAAAAAGAAAAATCTATAAAATAGTGCACCACAACTTAAAAACATTTATAAATACCAGACAATAGTACAAATCATTCAATGACTAGAATTGGATTATCATTTGAACAAAGGTAATTGGCACATGGAACCCAGTGTGGGAGAAGGTATGGGCTGTGGCATCCTGCGTGTGGAGGTTCAACCTGGTAAGGATTGCAGAGAGCAATCGAAAAAAGGCAAGTCTAGAAAGCGACAAGGGTATAAAAGAGGAATACTGCAAACAACCAGGATCGGGAGATATTGAAGCTGATAGGACAGGTAGAAAGAATCAGGAGAGTAACCATGGAAATAAAGCAAGGAGAAAAGATGGCAAAGTGGATTGAATGGTCAATGATATCAAAGGCAACAGAAGTACAAGGAGCACTAACCACAAACGGAAATGGTTGTATTAGTAACTTGACTAGGGCTGTCATGGTGCTGTGAGCACCCCTATGAGCTAGCAGTGGTCTAACAAGATTGGATTGTTTCACTTACTCTGATTTTCCCTTCGAGTGCTGAAATGATCTCTCCCATCATTCGCACCAGATCTTCATATTTGTACGTGTTGTCTGTGAGCCAGACGGCTTCACGAATGGTTAGAATCTCTTTACTAATAAACCTATGACAAAGAAAACCTGAATAAGAACCTGAAGAGATTCAATCTTTCAATAAACCAAAAGATGTTCAAGATCTTAGAAAACATAAATACAACAATAGCCCCTGCCCTCCAATATCCTGGTTTCCACCATACCTTGTAGAGATCACCATACAGGCTATCCCCAGCAGCTGAAGGCGAGCCCTAGGTACGCAGCGTAACATCAAGTATCGATCGACACATGCCACAGTCACATGCAGGCATAGGCTGGAAAAATCTTTCATACTGGTCACCTCCACTAACCAGTCAACCAGAATGTACCTATAGATGTAGATATAGAATGACTGGTTACACCAATTACTGTAATGTCACAGTTGGCTTCCTTTAGACACTAGGATTTTTTTTTCCCATATTCATTGTCATTTAAAAGTCTCCCATAATCTTAAAGTAGCACCAGTTTAAAAATAGTACCAGTAATTAAAGCAGTGAATTACTTTATAGCCCAAAAGACATCAGTCAGCAGTGTCTAAAAATAGAAGTGTAATCCAGAGGTACCCCATTTCAAATTAATTAAGGCAGTCTGCAGATAAATCTCATTAGGCCTACATAAGATTTTAAGCAAGGCAAGTGCTCAATATTAAAAACAATACAATTGAAGTACTTACCTTTGCCCGTTTCAATCTTAGATTCTTTTACAAACCACCTTGGGTTTTCCTCAATACAATTCTTAATACTGGGGAACTGAAAACTAGTGAAGCAGAGTATCTTGAACTGTATATTCACTTACCTCATTGTGTCATTCATGTTCTTTTGCATTTTGAACATATTTTGTTTGTAGAAGGGATGGGAAGATTGGAAGATCTGGGCCATGGGCTCTTTAGAGGCTTCAGGCATTACATCTAACAAATTGCCATTTCCACAGGCTTTCGCTAATGACAGCTGAAATACAGATAAATAAGAAATGATATTAACATTTGGATCAGATTGTATGATTCATTTGTAAAAAAAAATCAAGATTACTCAACCCTTCCATTAATTTCAAACAGTACACAAGATTAGGCTGGATGAACATTGGATTTTGTATAGAGAAACATACACAAGCATAGTTTGCTTTTCAAGCAACAACAAGAAGAAGATTGCATTTATAGAGCGCCTTTCACGTAGGGAGGACGTCCCAAAGCGCTGCACGAGTCTAAGCACACTTTTGGACTTGATTATATAAATGCACATTGCACAAAATTTAGAAAAGTTGATTTTCTATACCATGTAAAAACAAAAATTTCTGCAGACCTGTGCTTCCCAGCATCCTTTTATTGCATAATCCCTGAGTTTTCTAAGGCTTTGAAGGTACCTGCCAGGGTCAGTCATCTACCAGAAAAGAAAAGTCAATCAATCACATGTAGTTGAATATAACAAGCATTTCAAGAAAACATAAACAACACTGCTCTAAAGAAACTATTCCAGCCTTAGAAAATCTTGTTACAATATTATATCAGAGCTGGTATTACTTTGTTACTCACTCACATTGCCATTTCTAGTTTAGACTTGTCAGGGAACATATAAACTGAAAGGATGGTGATTTAATGTCCCACACATGGAGCACAACATTTTTTTCCCCAAAAGCCATATTTTTTAATGACAATACCAGAAATATCATGACAGTGATAACTTAATGTTGTAACACCTTAAAAGGAGCATCACTACTCCTTCCCGTCCCCCACCGTTTTTTGAACTTTGTTAGTGTGGTATTGGTGGATTAAAACACTAAACTCACAGCTCCCTTCTGGTTTGTCTCCCACAAGTGGTACGAACTTGTCAGGCATCCATGATTTGAAGATTCCTCAAACAATAATACAGCCTCCTTCAGTTTCTCCTCATCCTAGAAAATCGGTTAAAAAAAAAAACAACAACAACTTTAAATGATCAGACGATTCAAATCTTAAAATTTAACTTAAATAAGCTTAATTACCATTTTACCAACCTCAAACAAACTGAGAACTTTGGCCAAGCAGTGGGTTAGTGATGCCTTCTTAGCCTGCAAAGGTAAAAAGAAAATATTTAGGCGCGGTTTGGAAAATCATAATCAAAGACAAAGTTAGATAATAGATTTTCACCTTGCAAAATATTACTTACAGATTGTGACTGGCATTCGCTTTTTAAACTTTCATAGACAACTGCTTTACAGCAGCTGCCAGTGAGTGACCAGGGTGGTCTAATGAATAACCACACAAAGGGGGTAGCACTGACATTCAAGCTTTCTGCCAGACTAAAGAAATGAGATGCCTTTAGTCCATTTATTTCAGCACGACCTTCATCTGAAACAGCAACTGAAAGAAAACAAGTAGTTACCATGTCTGTTCATCACAATTAGTGAAGGCTTTACAATTAAACAAAAGTTGTATAGAATAGTCATATGCATATATGTTCTAATAACAAAATGTAATACCTCAACTGGAGCACGAGAAGATAATTATATTAACTGCAAGGCCTTCATTCTTTGGTTTTATTTAGTTTCTAACACTAACTTACCACGGCAATCTATTAGTCATCTGACAATAGCTCTCATGTAATTTACTACAATGCTCATTCTATTTGCTCAAAGTACAACCTAAACTAGTGCAGTAATTTAGGCTGAGCATTTGTCATGATGCGCAACTTAACCCACTAGCATCAGTGTCGCGATAACTGAATTTTCATGCTGTGAAGTACCTGAGATGTCTCAATTACACGATAAGGTGCTATATCAAATGGAAGGATTACTATTATTAATGTCACAAAATGTTAGGGTCCATTACAGGTCCACTGTACAAGACAGTGCTATACTGAAAGACGTTATAATGGGATTCCCCTAAAATTGCACAATAAGCATGACAGAATTGCTTATATTGGTGAGTTTTGAAACGTAGGATATTTAAATTAAAAGTACAATTAAGTCATTAAAAGCATACAATTCATATTTCTAAGCACCAAGATCATACCAAAAAGGTGGGTTTATTACAAACAGAAAAATGGACTTCAAGTATTACATTTTATTAGATATTTTAAATTTCTTAAAGGTCCAAGCTGAGCTATTCAGTATCTCAACATGCCAACAAATTATTTTTCCCAATTACCAATTTTGGTTGTACCTACATCCAGAGACTTATCCCCATAATGGAACATTTAGGAGGAATTTGTACTAGCCTCTAAAACAAGTTCCCTATGGCGGATCCCAGCCAGAGCAGGAAAAGATCTGAGTGAGAGCAATTATATTACAAACCCCTTTTTCTTCCAAGACTTGTGGCTAAGTTACATTATTCTGTTCTGAGATACTGACACCCATCTTCTTCAACACAACTTCAGCACGACTTGAAACAATAAATTATTTTCTAATAGAACATGGAACGTTTAGGAGGAATTTGCACTTTATTGTCATTTTACTTAAATGTTAACAAAACTGCACCCGTGACAATTCATAAAACTCTCAATTTGATGTATGCAAGGATCTTAGTCTTAAAATAATTCTTTGGAATTGTATAATTCTCATAAATCTGATGTCACTTATTTAATGTGAAATGGATCACATTAGAATTAATCTCTAGTATTTGAGAACTACTTTTACATGACAGTTTTATGTTATTACCATAGAATGATAGAATTATACAGCACAGAAGGAGGCCTACCGTGTCTGTGCCGACTCTTTGAAAAGAGGTATCCAATTCAATCCCGCTCACCCGCTCTCTCCCCATAGCCCTGCAAACTTGTCCTCCCCAAATAATTACTTCACTCTTAAAACTGGTTATCAAATCAGCTTCCACCATTTTTTCAGCCAATGCGTTCCAGATCCGAACAACTCACTGTGTGAAAATATTTCTCCTCACCTCACCTCTATTTCTTTTAGCAACTATTTGAAATAGGTGTCCTCGGGTTACTGATCAACCCACCAGTGGAAATAGTTTCTTCTTGTTCACCCTCTCGAATCCCTCCATAATTCTGAAAACTTCTATCGAGTCTTCTCTTAACCATCTCTTCTTCAGGGAGAATAATCCTAGCTTCTCGAGCCTCTCCTGATAACTGAAGTCCCTCATTCCTGGTACCATCCTGGTTAATTTCCTTTGCACCCTCTCCAGTGCCTTGACATCCTTCCTGAAGTGTGGGGCCCAGAACTGAACACAGTACTCCAGCTGAGGCCTAAACAGCGTGTTATAAAGGTTCCTGACTTTTGTATTCTATGCCCCTATTTATAAAGCCTAGTATCCCATATGCTTTTTTAAAAAAAAAACAGCTTTATCTACCTGTCCTGTCACCTTCAAAGATTTACTTATATGAACCCACAGATCTCTCGGTTCCTTATTTTGTCCTGGATTAGTCTCTAGAAGTTTCCCCACTACAGATGTTAGGCTGACTGGTCTGTAGTTCCCGGGTTTAATTATCCTTTGGCCCCATTTTGTACAGGGGAGTAACATTTGCAACCCTCCAGTCCTCGTGCACCACCCTTTGTGGCCAGAGCTTCTGTTATTTCCACCCTTACTTTCCTCAGTAACTTAGAATGCATCCCGCCCGGACCAGGTGACTTATCTACCTTGAGCACCATCAACCTTTTTAGTACCCCTCTCGGTTTATTCTTATCTTATCCAATTTCTCTACCCTCTCCTCCGATACTGTAGCATTGTCTGCATCCTCTTCTTTTGTGAAGACAGATGCAAATTACTCATTCAGTACGTCAGTCATGTCCTCCGCCTCCACAAGACGATATCCTCTTTGGTCCCTATTCGGACCCACCCTACCTTTACTAACCTTTTATTCTTCATGTGCTTATAAAACACCTTAGGGTTCCTTTAATGTTACCTGCAAATCTGTTCTTGTACAATCTCTTTGCCCCACTTATTTTTTCAGTTCTGTACTTTCTATATTCGATTTGATTATCTTCGGTATTTTGCACCTGACATTTATCATAAGCCTCCTTTTTCTGTTTTATTTAATCCCAATTTCCTTAATCATTTAATCAAAAATTAGTTTAAACCTTTCCCCACAGAACTAGTTAACCTTCCTGTGAGGACAGTGGTCCCAGCCCGAGTCAGGTGTAACCCATCCACCTTGTACAGATCCCATCTGCCCCAGCACTGGTCTTAATGTTCCAGAAACCTGAAGCCCCCCTTTCTGCACCATTTCTCCAGCCATGCATTCATGCGTTTGATCCTGCTGATCACCTGGGGCCTCAGCGTCTCGGATGTCACCATCACCGACAAGGCTATCTCTGACCACCATTTCATCTCCCTATCCTTCTCCCCACTGACTCCAAACCTACCACCACCTCCTACCGCTCGTGGAAGAAGATCTCCCCGCAATCCCTCTCTGCTGCCCTGGAGTCCACTGAACTCCTCCTCCTCCCCTGGCCCACCTCCCGCACCAATCCATCCTCTGCATTTACTCTCCTCCACAGAACCCTCTCCACCACACTCAATGCCCTTGCCCCCCTCACCTCCCGAACTGCCTCCTAATCCCGATCCTCACCCTGGTTCACCAGCTTGCTCAAGGGCCAGGTGCGGGCTGCCGAATGCACTTGGCTCAAATCTGGCCTAACGTTCACCGGCACATCTGACTGGACCACATCAAAACCTACCGCTCCGCTCTCGCCTCAGCCAAATCATCCTACTACTCCAGATTAATCCTGGAGGCAAAGGGCAACCTCAGGCTCCTGTTTTCCATCACCAACTGGCTCTTCCGCCCTCCCCGCCAAGCCTCGCAGATTCTTTCTTCCAACTTCTACTGCGAGGAAATGCTGGACTTCCTCGAGTCCAAAATCAGGGGAATCTGCTCAGCTGCCACTGCCCTCCTAACTTCCACCCCTTCCCTACCCCCCCCCCCCCACCACACTCCGACCAATACCTATCCCTCCTTCCACACCTTTGAACCTGTCATCCCCTCCTCTATCATCACCACATATCCCCCATGAAGCCCACCACCTGCTCCCTGGACCCCATTCTCACCCTTCTCCTTAAAACCCAGCTCCACCTCCTTGCCCCACTATTTGCTGACATCATCAACCTCTCCCTGTCATCTGACACTGTTCCTATGCCCCTCAAAACAGCCACTATCACCCCCACCTTGAAGAAACCTTCCCTCGACCCAAAACAACTATCCAGCTACTGGACCATCCCCAACCTCCCTTTTCTGTCCAAGGTCCTTGAGAGCCATCGCCTCCCAGCTTCGCTCTTTCCTCTCCTCCCACTCCCTCCATAACCCCCACAGAATGAGAAGCGTTATTATTTGAAAGCTTAAGTAAAGGACCAGGTGGAAAAATAGTAGAGAATAGGATTAAACTAACATGTAGTTGGATAACGCCAAGATTGTACTTTAAAAACCTGTACATTGTCAGAGGAAAGAAAGATTGAACCAAGTTAAGTTCAAAGTCCTGGAAAAGATTGAATTAAGACAGTGGGGTCTAAATTGATTTATAAACAAGATTAAAAAAATACTTTGTTGCAAAAGGGGCAATAAAACGTGCATCATGCCGATCTGTGGGAACTCTGCTCTGGAAAGTGAATCAATTTGCGATTTGCAGTTCCCCCTGGTCAGAATGGCAAACCTTTGGATACAAGGCGAATACCCGATTTTCAATTCGGAGTTGTTATGAAATTATTGAATATTAAACCCCAATGCGACGAGTTTTAACTTTAAGAGTAAAGATGGTGCAGGAAAGGGAGAACAATTGGATAGATCAGAAGAATGAAGTATAGGCAACTGATGATGGAACAATCAACCTGCCTATTCTGGTCATAGTAAACCTAGCACTCAACAATTAAAAAACAAAAACACTCATTTTACGATGTGAGGTTCAACACTTACGTCCTTCGTTATAGAGGTAGGCTATCCCTAATTTGACTGCAGCTTCAAAATTCCCACTCTCAGCAGCCCTAGAATAAAACAAAGTTAACTCATTAGAATTTGTTTTTCAAACGTTCTGCTTCCTCCTCTTCAATACACAGGTGGCAATTTTATGGAATTGTGAAATCTAATACTTTCAACAATTCATGATTGACACCGTGATCACCACAGGATCACACACAAAGTGAAAAAGAAAAGGAGCGGCCTTTAGAGGAAACTACCATCTGATGGTAGTGTTCTGTAGATCTGAAAAAATGTTGCAAATCAAACAGCAAAGTTGTTGAAGGAAACATTTTTATGGTTCCCCACAAATTACTGACAAGCTCAGTTGAAAATCAAATACTATACCGCTGTTTTAGGGAATTTTTTTTAATGTTAATGCACATATTTTAAAGAGTCTGGGTCAAGACAAGTGTCCATTTTAGAAAAAGTTATATTTTATGAATGATAATGCAATCTATGACACAACAGAACAGAGAAGTGCAACTTGGAATAATCATGCTGCTGGAATTTACATCAGAACATGAGACAGCTAACAGGCAAGTAAGCTAAAGAGCCAGAAGTAGGAGAATCACTGAAAATTCCACTCAATTTGCTTTTATAGACAGTACTTAGACATTTGTTTACAAATACAGTCTCTGTACTTCACAGTAAAATCCTATGAAGCGTTTGAGAAGTTTCAATGACATTAAGCACATATCAAGTTTGAGGATTTTATACACACACCCACACTACCTTTCAAAGAGCCAAAGATTTATTGGAGATGGCCAGACTTCATGAAAGTTTGCATGTGCCCAAACACTAGCATGATTATCTACAAGCGATCGGAAATGAGAGTGGACCTGAAAAGGCAAGAAAATAATTAATTTGTCAAAGAGCAAAACACATGAACTGTGGACATTGTGTTCAAGCCTAGAATTGTAGATCATTGCATTTGATCAATTTCTCTGAAAATGAACTGAAGTTAAAGAAAAATTGGGAGAGCACATTAAATGTACAATGTTGGCAACATTACTAATAGTAATTCTGTTTCTTTTTCCCTCTAGAAGTTAAAACTTTGGACAAGTGAAAAGATTAATCTGAGTAAACACAACTTATATGCAATTAATTGATTTGTCTGGTATCTTCATAATAGCTATACAAATGGCAGTTAACTCACAGCTCTGAAGTTGAGAATATCCTCAGCGGGAAGGCATTCCAGTACATAAAGCAGAACATCATCTGGAAGACCGAGCAATGTGAAGACAGGTGGGTGTTTCTTAATCTTCCGTTTTGTAGGTAGTGAAAAACATTTTGCACATTTACAGTGAAACACTGAAAGCAAAAACAAGTAAAATATTAAATGGTGTCATTTTTATATTTGGTAATAATATGCTCTATAACAGTTTAGTGTGCAACATGTCCGAAAACTCAAAACAACAAGGAATTCTAACTAGACTGTTCCTTTTAAACCTTGTATAAATACAAGACTGAGGAGAAACCACCAACCAGTAACTCAGCAAATACATAAGCATTTTTTAAAGCAAAATAAGTTTTAAAATGCACTAGTTTTGGCCTCCTAAATTTTTCAACATCATTGTACGACTTTTACCCGGAAAGAACGGTTTATGATTTGAATGTTTTCATTATAATTATTATAGGTTAGTAAAATCATAATGCATTTAGAGTTGGTGTGGCAGTGACTGCCACACCAACATACTTACATTAATCCACCCATACTTAACAGCAGCTAAGGTTGCCTGTAGCTAATAGTAGCCTATTTATTTTGAAAATCGTTTAGGTTCCTACAATTGTCACTGTTATAGTTCCTATTTATCAAATGTATGCAGTTAAAGTGTTCTTGCACTTAAAGTATAAGAAACCTGCTGGCTAAATATCTAAAAAAAAATATTAGATGGGTACATGGAAGCCACCATGGACTAACTTATTCAAGCTAAGCAATAAACTTGATATGTACCATTACCATTTAATATTTTAATTGGGGACTGTCACAGAATTCAGAACTTGTTGGTATTGGCTGAAGACGTAATCAGTCACCTAAATCATTCCATTTTCATTATAAATGCTACACATTCTCTTTACTAATTACGTTATTACAGACTCCTCCAGCTGCAAACTAACTGTGTAAGGCAGCAGTTCATCATGCTTAAAAAAAACTGAAAGCTTCAAATGTTGAACAACTGTTTTTTCAATTCTCGACAATCAAAATAAAAATCAGTTACCCCTTTAAGTCCCCCCAAGATTTCAGCACTTAAATGCAATACTCATACCAATATTAAACATAATAATAATAATCTTTGTATTTGATATAGTGCCTTATTGCATCTTCTAGACGTCTCAAAGCATCCAGAATATTCTGAATTGACTGTATGTTTTGTGGGCGGAACATACCAACTGAAGTAAATGCAACTGCATGATTCTATGATTATAGTACCTGGGTTAGTAAAAGTCTACTCACTTACTGGGATGCAATTATTCATACCCATTCCACATGACGGGGGAATAGGGAAGGGGGACAACCGGAGACAGAAGAGACAAAAAATCAAAAATAGGATGTTTTCATTTAAAAAAACTGTATGTTTCAAATTTTAATTCTATTTCTTTTCTTGCCAAAGCAGCTCTCCTTACAAACATCTAGCCATACCACTGGTGCAGAACATGTGAACATTGAAACTCAAAACAAGTTTATCAAATAGATTATTATTTTGGCAGAATGTTGAATCAGTGCAATTCTGATAACAAATCAATTTAAACATAAGTACATTGTTGCTCTCCTATAAAAATGGACTAGCTATTCATTGCTTGATCATTGCTTATCTGCCTTCAGATAAGATATAAAACTAAGGTCCAACTGCACGTTCAGGTGGATGCTAAAGATCCTATGGCATGATTCGAAAAGAGAAAGGGTTTTCTCCTGCTGCCTGGCCTGTTTGTGGGACATTGCTGTCGCATTTCACCCACAAAATACTGTTAACTACCTTACAGTATATCATGGGACGTGCTTTGCGACTTCTCAACGATTTGATAACGCACTATATCAAAGGCAATGAGTATTATATAAAATATGAACTAGCTGCCAACTAACATCACTGTGCAAAGTTTTATCAAATACTATGTAACGCAAAAGCAAAAAAAAAATTTTTTAAGGAAAAAAAGAACAAAATCTACTGTGCTGCAAACTGAGAGATTTCAATCCATGCAACAGTTGAAACAAACTAAGTGTGTGGCACGCTCACTAGACATGCAAGTGTGAAAATTAATCCTCCGAATTGAAACCAAAAAACCAAAAAAAAGGGCACAAAACGGGAAAGACCAACACACAAAAAAAAAAGCACCCCAAAGTACTTGGGCTTTTCAAACTTTCCTAATGAATGGTACTTTTTAAACTGGATCACCTTCACTTCCCCACTCACCCCAAGACACACACACACACTCCACACCCCCCACCCAACCTAAAAAAAAGTTCCCAACCACCACCTCTTCCCTTCCTCTCGGTGGGGTCGAGCGGCAGTTTTCAAACCGACCGTCCAAACCGCCAAACTTCGCCAACCCGCGGCTCCGCCGAGACTTCTCACACAACTTCGGGAGAGAGCCCTTTCGAACAAAAAGGCAACGCGAACCTGACCCGAAAGCAGACGAAGCCTTTTGAAACCCACCCCCCACCCCACCCACCCTCCCGCCCGCGCCCCGGACGAGCAAACTTTTTTTGAGAGGAAAAAAAAGTGGGAACGAGAGATATATAGAAATAACGTCTCGCATTTCAACACTCCCCCCACCCCACACCCTCTCCCCTCCCCAGCGATTGGGGGCGCTCAGCAAAACCACTGCACCCGCAACTTCCCGAAGAAATAAAAAGAGGGAAAAGTGGCCTGAGAGGTACAGCGGGTCTTTCAACTTACAGCCCGAACCCACGAGATAACGCGAACTTTTACCCCCAAATCCGAGGATTTTTTTTTCCCTAATACAACCCACTCTGTGTCTGTGTGGGACTGGGGGAGGGGGGGAGAGAGTTTTTAAGCCCCTTATTTAGGATGGGAGTGGCCCACAGTCGCGCGCGAGAAAGAAAAAAAAACCGTCAAGTAAAACCTTTGCGATGTTTCTCGCAAAACTTACCGCCCGTTTTCATTTTTTTTCCCCCTCCCTCCCCTCCCTCCCTCTCGCTCGCGCTCTCTCTCTCTCCTTTCGAAGCGAAGTGGCTACGGATTTTTTTCTTTCGGAGGAGGAGGGAGTGAAGGAGAAAAGAATACAAGAAGAAGAAACGTTGAAAGAAACAAACAAAGGCGTAAATGAAAGTGCAAAGAGAGAGAGAGGGAAAAAAAAGGAGACCGACTTGACAGAGAGGACAGTGAGGAAGAAGAGCTGACTGTTGAAGAGCAACCACCACCTGCGCGCGCAGTCCCACCGACCGTTGCCAACGGCCCCACCGCGCGTGCGGACCTTTTCAAAATAACCCCCGCCCATTGGCCGGTCTCGCGCTCCCGCCCTCGTAGCGTCCCATTGGCTCCCTTCCTTGCCAGTCGGTGACCTCGCCGGTGCTGATTGGCTGGCCCGGCACCTTGCTGGGTCGCGAGCAGCTCTGATTGGTTGCGGGGGACGCATTTTCGAACCGGGCTCCGAGGCCACCGTGACTGACTGCAATCCCTCAGGTGGTTGATGGTCGCTTGGTTGGTTGGTTGGGTTATGGCCACCTTTGTGCGGGGCTGCCTCAGATCTGTGCCCGGAGCTATTTGCTGGGCTTATTACCTGTAACCCGGTGCTTAGATGGGTGGGTCCGCCTCGAAACCTTCTCCACACAGTTGGAGCGTGCCCAAACAACAACAACAACAACTTTGTACAGCGCCTTTCACGTCGGGAGGACGTCCCAAGGCGCTGGACAGTGTACAGCATTTCAGACCCGAGCTGGGGTGGGGGGGGGGGGTAGTGGCCGATGGCACGGTCGAAGAGGAGGGTCTTGAGGCGGGACTTGAAGACGGCTAAGGAGGGGGTGAGGCCAAGTGACTGGGGGATGGGGTTCCAGAGGTTGGGGGCAGAGTGGCTGAAGGCTCTCCCGCCAATGGTGGGGCGGGCGGGGCGGGGGACGTGGAGCAGGCCGGAGCCGGCTGAGCGGTGGGAACGGGCGGGTTGGTAGGGGGTTAGGAGGTCGCAGAGGTAGGGTGGGGCGAGGCCGTGGAGGGCTTTGTAGGTGAGGACCAGGATCTTGAACTGGATCCCCTGAAGGATAGGGAGCCAATGGAGTCGGGCGAGAATGGGGGAGATGGGGTCACGGAGTTTGGTGCGGGAGAGGACACGGGCTGCAGAGTTCTGGATTAGCTGCAGTCTGTGGAAGGAGGAGTTGGGAAGGCCGACAAGCAGGGCGTTTGCATAGTCGAGCCTGGAGATGATGAAGGCATGAACAAGAGTTTCAGCGGCCTGAGGGGTGAGGGAGTGGCGGAGTCGGGCGACGTTACGGAGGTGAGGGAAGGCAGAGTGGGTCATGGCTTGGATGTGGGGAAGAAAAGACAGTTGAGGGTCGAACAAGACACCGAGGTTCCTGACTGGCTTTGGTGAGTTGAAATGTGCCACCATGGAGGTTGGTGCTGCCAGAGCCTGAGGTGCTGAGGCGCTGGTGCGAGCCAATCAGGAGGGCCTCAGTCTCGTTCACATTCAACTGTAGGAAACTGTAGGTAGCGTTCCAGAGTCCCTGTGTCAGAAGATTGTGGGTTCGAGCCCCATGTCCAGATAGTCTAGGCTGATACTCCATCGCAGTGCTGGGTGAGCGCTGCATTAACCGTCCAAGGTGCCATCCTTTGGATATGACTTTAAAACCGAGGGCCCAACTGCCTGTTCAACGATCCCATGGCAGGATTTGAAAAGGGAAGTGAGTTTCTCCCGGTCTCTTGGCCTTCAATCCCCATATAAAATTGGTCATTTGTGAGACATTGCTGTGTGCAAAAAATGGGTGCTGTGTTTGTCTACCTTTGTTTACTCCTATATGTGGCACTAAGCAGTGTTACAGTTCCAAATAAGGGCAATTGACATTGGTGTTCAAGCCTAGAGTGAAAATCATTGGATTGTCAAAGTAACATTTGTTTCCACAGATATGGATACAGTTTTGGATGAGCCTGAGCTTTACAGGGTGTTAAGAAGAGTTATTTAGAGGAACAGAAATGTTTGGCCTATAAAAGGAAACCGAGCTTCTTGAGACAGCTGTATCAATGGAAGAGTTCCATTTGAGATCGGAAAAGGTATTTACGCCAAGGATGGATGGATCAATGGATGAAGGACTATGCTTGAAAAGTCAACGTTGATAGCTGTTGGACAGAAAGAAACTGTGCCTCTATAGAAATGAAAGAAACAAGATTTATTTTAAAAAAGCAAGTTAATATATGTTCTTATTTTCATTGCCCTATATAAGGCAAGGATGACACTAAGGTTTAGTGATGCGGATTGTGAGAAGGATGAAGAGGGCATGAAATTTTAAGTAACTAGATAAATGTAGAGCGTAACTTTCAGAATGAATAGGGTTGTATGAGGAATGGAGAAAATCAAATAGCTAGAATTGTATGCTTAAAAGGGAGATATTTGGGAAGCGAAGGTATTAAATATGTACTGATAAAAGATGGTAAATGGGATTAAAAGATCTGCTAATATCTAAGAGATGGCTAAACAACAACAACAACTTGCATTTATATAGCACCCTTCATGCAGGGTAGCATACTGGAAGACTTCACATGCTCAATGGGCTGAATAACTTCCTCCAGTTCCTATGTTTTTATGGTATGGAAAAGGTGGAATAAAGTGGGAAAGAACAGAGACCAGATTGTCTAGTGAATGTGCATGCATTCATAAAATGAATACCATTTTATTATTCTGTGATGAAAGAGGCTACATATAGTCATAGTTACCCGATGATCTCCAAACCTATATTAAAAAAACCATCATGGGTTCTGAGGTCAGTTATTTGAATTCCTCAAGGCTACTTATGGCTTTCAGGAGTTCACACAGTCCTTTATTTCTTTCAGATCCTGTTGTGCATGACAACGATGTGTAGAATGTGAGCAAAGTCCTACTTGCCAACCATTCAGATTGAATCAGCAGAGCTCAAATTTATGAATTCTTGTGAGGAGTCCAGATTTCTGAGAATTTGCCTCAAGAAACGTCAACAACATTTACCAAGAGTAGAATTAGGAATCTGGAAATGTTCGCAGTTTATCAAATAATGTTCTGTATAGTCCTGTGCAGAAACATTTTAAAGAAATTTTTAAGTTTGTACTTTGTAATTTGTTTTACGGTAAGACATGGTCACTCACAACATATTGCAAAAGAGAGTGAAGGTGGAATTGGATGGAGCAATGGTTTAACACAGTGATCATTTCCTTCTGGGACCATTAGCTTGGATCAAGCCCAGACTAGTGAAATTCAAGTCTTTGCACATTGCACGTTAATTCAAAAATTGCCCAGAACTCGGCATGAAATTGACATTCTCACTTAGAAAGGAATGAGGATGGCTGGTGGGGAAAGTGGAAACTTGATACAGGCAAATTCTTAGCTGCCACATTTCTTATCAAATCTAAAAAATGGACACAATCTCCAACCACCAAGTTACATTTTGCAGCATTTGCCTACAAAATGCACAGTCCAGTATGTCCTATAAAGTGCTTTGAGCTCATAACGTAAAATGCACTATATCAAATGCAAGGATTATTTATCATCATGATATCAATTTACCAAAGAAGCATTGAAACTTATGTTAGATAACAATAGTACTGTTGTTTTGCAACTGCCCTCTGGTGGAAGCTGGTTGTATTTTAATTTAGTTTCTCGTAAAAAAAGTTTAAAAAATCCTTTAAGTCTGAGGTCAGCAATTATGGTTTTGAGTCTTGGCCTTAAAACCAATGTCTTAAAATGTAAGACTCGTGGGGGTAAGGAAAGAAAGATACATTTTTATATCATCTTATCAACTTGAAACATCTCAAGGCACTTTGCAGTAATTACTATCAAGTGTGTGTAGTGACTGTTTTTGTTGTTAAACCTGTTACCATTTCACGCACAGCAAAGTCCTGCGGTCATAACCAACTTTATCTGAAGTTAATGTACACCTGAAAAAAAGGAGATAAGACTTCAGTTTAACACCTTCTCCGAAGGATGTCATCTCCACCAATACAGAAACCTTTCTGCCTAGTAATACGTGATTAGATGTCGCTCTTGTATATATGTGTGTATGGTGGGGGGTCCTGTGTAACACACCGGAAGAAATGGTGTTTGCACATGAGTTCAAAGCATTTGAGGCAGAGAGCATATGAGAGAGATAAACAAGCCTGTTGAAATAAAATTAATGCTGTATAGAGACTTGGCAGACACTCGGGGCTCAGTTATGAGTTGTAAATAACTATTAAGAATGTTTAGCTGTTGATTCACATTGGATCAGTGATTCCGAGAATAATTCTGCATTTTCCATGAAAAATATATTGCGATGAATGCAGATAGTTTACATAGAGAGACAGATTCCCAGGCTGGAATCTAATCGAGGGGTTTACATATAGATTAATGAATCTTTGAGGGTGAGTTACATGCGTGGATGTAATTGAAGGGTTCAGAGAGACTATACTGTATATAGAGGGGCGACAACAACTTATATAGCGCTTCTTATCTAGGATGAACATCTCAAAGCGGTAAGGAAATAAACTGCATATAAATCATCTCACCACCACAAAATTTAATCGTCTATGGACTTGGTTTGATTCCAGCTTGTGACAGTAAGTGAACTGTTTGCAGAGATTTGCTGTGTGCTTTTTGCATTCCAGCAGTGCCATCAGAGGCATCACCCTGCTACATCTTACTGGCTTCTACTTCCTACATATTTGAATGGCAAATATTAGTTTTATGGGTATCAGAATGCCTTGAGGCAATTGAAATCAACTGCAGACTCCAGAGAGTCTAGGCCAGGGGTGGGCAATTATTTTGGCTGGCAGTCCATTTCATGAGTTTTGGTAAACTTCGCAGGCCACACACTTAATATAGATGCAAATGCTTAATAATAGCTCAAAATCAAGTCTACACTTGCACATGCATAAAATAAAGTCTGTATAATTGACATTCATTAAAATTAGGTTAAATAAAAACTCATTGAGCAGACATTTATTCGATACTTATT